TAGTTATTTTGTTAGCTTATAATATATTAAACTTTTTGCCTAAACTTCTTGAATTATTATAGTCATAATTCAAAGTTGAAATGCTCAAAAGAGGGGATGTTGAACTTTCTTATTTCACAGTTTTATTTAAAACGGGCAGAAGTTAATAAATATGTGTTAAACGTAGAATTTGAACGTGTTTATTTTGTGATGTTATATTAATTTTCAGTTATGCAATATTTCTACATATTGAGGGCATTTGTAACTAAATCCATAAAAGTGAGAAAAAAATTTGAAAATTATAAATCAATAAAATTGGCAAGTTACAAACTCTATAACAATGCTCTTATGTTAACTAACGCACAAATAGATTTACTTGTTATGCAAATGCGAACGAAATTGAAGCAAGAAGTTTAAGTTAAAAAAAGAAGAAAAAATATTCCTTTTTTAAATTTAAAACTTTAACTCTTTGCACCGARTAGTATACATATATTTGTACAAATAATCTAATCTGAGTTCAAACAGTGGAATGTGTGAGCTTTGTTAATTTAGTCGTTAATTTCAAACAGTTTTATTTCCATTCAGCATGTTTTCGTCTACGTCTCAAGAATGAATTTCATGCAAATGTGGGAAAATTCAAAGGTAGCTCTGGAAAAACATGAAAAGGGTCATCGCTCGCAGTAATCGTATGTGTGTCTAAACAGCATACAAATTTATAGGCACGCTAAACATCGTATAATGTCTGGAATCCCAAAGAGAGAACCGCTTTTGAACAAAAATAGATATGTTATCTAATGTGAATTAGGTGCGCCCATAGGAAAGTTCCTGTGTCTCAAAGAGTGCATTTCAGTATTTTAATACCTGCCTGAACTGATATTGTGTAAACGAGAAACTAAGCTCTCATGTTATTTAAACCTGAAAAATATGCAGCAACCGGTTCCAAAAGTGCAATACTGCAGCCAAATCTCCTTAAGTTACTGAAAAAATCACGGAAGCTGTGCCAAATCTTTTAACAACATTTTATGTGCTATGGTTAGGTAATTTTAATATATTATGTGTCGCCGTTGTGCAGTCTGACCTCTAATTTAACTCGATAATAGCAATATAAGCAACTATTTTGTGGTAAGCTGAATCTAGCAACAGTTTATTTCATGAAGCATCTATACTTAAAACTTTTACATTTACAATATATGTAAAACATTGAGCTAAACCATAAATTTCTATTGTTTCAGGTCGAGGAAACCGAAGGCCGTACCGTAGGAATTCAAAATAACTGTAGCTTCTATGAAGTGTCCGTAGCTGAAAACTCTCAAGCAATTTATCAAGCATTCGATGCAATTCTGAATGAATGTCGTCAATCCACGCAAAAAAGCAGAAAATTTTCCGTCTCGAAAATGATTGGCACCCTTATAGGTAACGTCAATCCTAAGCCGCAACCCGAAACGAAACAAGGAGGAACTTTGACGGTATGCCATAAGTCTGATCTCTACAAATCCCGAGTTATTAGAAGGAGGCAAAACTTTACAGCGACAGCATCTCTCTGACTAGAAGGAAAAGAATCGTAAGATAATTTTCTATGAATAATAGTACTGAACTCGGTACGATTGGTTTGGTGGATGATTTTTTCTCAGTTTTATGAGATACTTGGTAGTCTTAAGATTAAATGTGAATCCAGAGGCAACATTTATTGTAAAGTCCTGTAAATTACTATTTAAGTTTGAGAGCATTCATTTTCACATCAAATGAATGAATCATTGTTTGCGTCTGGATTTTCTGATTTTATTCCTGATGCCCCGTGTAAATTCCATATCGAAGTGTAGATTCGTCAAGACGTTTAATATTTAAATATTGATGGTCGACAAATTTATAAACCACGTATATTGATGTAGGGGCTTAGACATATGGGTAACTTTAGATTTTTTACCAAATCTTTTTTAATTTAATAAATGTGTGCATGTATATCTAGAATACAATGTCTTGGGTACGTTGTAACGTTTTTCGGGGTAATAATTTTAGTTGTATCTTGAATCTGATTGGCTAAAAACTTTGAAAGCCACTTAATGAAGTTCCGTACTGAGAATAGGTTTAATGCCTTATCACAACAAAATTAATACTGCCGGATAATCAGCCGCAAATTTGAAGCATGTGAAGTATGATGAACTAAAATAACTGCTAAAATAATTGATTTAGTCATATATAGTCGATATGCGGAACTAGAAGTTTCATAATTAAATGTTACACGATGTGATTAATTTTAGTTACCTCAAAAACTAGAAGATTGTCTTATGGGCATTTGACTGTTTCTACTTTCAGTTCTATTATTTTGTTCCTTTAGTTTGGACCATTTGACTTAAAAGTATACTAAATATTATGAAATATTGTGTGTGCGAAACGGCTGTGATAATTTAATTTGTTTCAATTAATTAATTAGTTTTTTAGGGAATACATTGTAAATTTATTAGAAAAAATGATGTGTTTGTGTTTCCTTCGAATCCCCATTAACTGTCCCTTTGTGCATTAGAATACATTAACTATACATTTTATGTTTTTCCCGAACTTCGCTTCTAATCAGTAGAAATCAAACTCGAAATTAATAAATATTTTTATAATTAAATAACTATTATTAAAATGAAGGATCATTCTTCGCAAGTAGGGAAGTATTTAGCAAGTAAAAATAATCGGCTCCAAAAGTACAAATACTATGGGTGTTTTTAAGGCTTGGGCTTAGGAATTGATTTTGTTGATTTTTTACTACAGAAGTACTTTAATTTCATTGACGCAAAAATGGTGCCTCATATCTCATTCTTTTCTCCAAATACCTGAAAATACTACTGTTTCCGACTGGAAATTCTGATTTTTCGAATCTCACTACTCACATTTATAGAAATTGTATCTAATTTAATAACTGATTATTCCCTTTTAAATATTTTTGTCGAAAACAATCGTTGGCAACATTGCTTGGGTTAATATTTTGACTGACTTCAAACATGAAGTTTTTTTCCAAATTTTAAACCATTTGCTTTCAAGTAAGAACACCAAGTTGGTTTTACGTAACTTTAGTGATCAAATGAACGCCATAAGTGAAACATCGTTAGAACCGGGGTGTAGTGAGTAGTGCGGACTGAAAAAGTTGCAGGAATCGCCGTATTAATAATGACTGTTTGTTTATCATTGTAAATGGAAAACTTATCCTATCATCTGTACGTATCTATGCAAATTTCCAGGTAAGTTTTTTATGAGGAATAATTTGGTAAAGTCATGAGCGTCATTTCAGGATTTAAACTAGGGTGGCAAAACCTACTCAGGTGAAAAGGGGTTCTCTTAAAAATGTTTAAACTTGATATTAAATTTGTTAGTTTTTTAAACTTTTCCGGGCTATTTTTGCAGCAATTTAATTTCGAACAATTTACCCAAAAACAATAATTTTTGATCACTTGAGTTATTAACTCAAGATATGGAGTTAATAATTATAATTAATTAAACATTATACAAAAAAACATTTTACTCAATTGTCATCATACACATTACAATTTATTTTTACAACAAATTAAGTCTTCATTTTTGACTTGAATTACAACACTCGGGTCAATATCCAAAAATGTCATTGTTTCAGAGTTGCCACTTCCAGGCGGCTACATCGCTCATTCTCGGTTTTGACGCATTGTCCGCAATGTTCCTTATTTTATTACGTAAATTCTACTACTCCAATGTTTCTATGTAAGTTTATAAATTGCAAGTTTTCTCGTATCTTTCTCTGTTAAACTAAGCATGATTAAGGGAGAATGGACAAAATTAAAAACAATCCATGTTGCAGATTTGTATTTTTTAGTTAGTTATTTGTTAATTATTGATAGTTTTACTTCAAAATTCTGGGGTGGCAAACGATTGGGTTTGACAATTCTGGGGTGGCAGCTGCCACCCCTTGCCACCCCCGAATTACGCCAATGGGTATAGTAGAGAGAACGTTGCGCTATTACATTAGGTCTCCATTTAAAACGCAAAATCGCGATCACTGCTAGTACCTACTCTTTAGTACTAACTGGAATTTCTAAGTTTTAAAGTCTAAAGTGTTCTAAATAATCACAATGTATCTCATGTTTTGATGAACAATCGAGTTCAGCCGTTTTGGACAAGTGGTGAATTCTTGAGTGTCGTGATACAAAAACTACCAGAACTTTTTATTTGGTGGATGAATTCAACTCATTGTTTTTGGTTGATGCACTAATCATTTATTCACAACTTTGTGCTCATTGTAAAATCTTGTAGCATTCATAGTTTTTGCGCAAAAAAATATCGCTGTTTTCTTGCCACTTGACAATGTTAGACATTAACTGACTAGACTGAGACTTTTGCAGTACCTGGTATTTATCTCCCTTCATAACAGGACCCAAGTATTGCAGTTTGCGTTTCAATAGAAAGAATCAATTCTTTCTCGTTCTGGATTCTTCGCAAAACCTCCACATTTGTCACTCTCTATGTCTACGCTTATTCTCAGTATTCTACGGTACATCCACATTTCAAATGCTTTTATACTCTTGGTATCGACCTTTTTCAATGTCCACGCTTCCATTCCGTTGAAAAGAACCGGCAGCACGTAACACAAAGCGAACTTTAAGCTTAAGGCTTAGATCTCGTCCGACCTTCTTTATTTTAATAAATGTGGCTCTAGCTTTTTCCACTCTGATCCTGATTTCTTCAGAGCTATCGTTATTTTCGTTGATAACAGTTCTCAGGTAATTATATTTTCTCACGCGTTCTATTTTTTGACGATGTACAGTTATCTCAGGGAAGTTTTGTGGTAATTTAGATACCACCTTTATTTTTGTTTTGCTGATGTTAACTGATCATCCGTATTCTTCACTGCACTCTACTATTCTTAGTATCTGAAGATCTTCTGGAGATTCTGCAATTACAACCGTGTCATCGGCATATCTTAAGTTGTTTAATGGGTTGCCATTTATTTTAATATCTATATCTGCTCTGAAATTTTCTGTTTTGTGATGTCTTCTGAGTATAGGTTGAATATGATTGGTGAGAACATACATCCCTGTCTTATGCCCTTATTAATCTCGAATTCCTCCGTTGTCTCTTTCTCTATTGCGCTGACTATTCGCTTTTTAATTATAATAAATCTTGGAAATAATCCTGATGTCCGTTTTATCCAAGCTTTTTTCTACCAGCAGTCTCATTCGACATTCGTGACGTACTTCGAACACTTTGTTATAGTCAATTAAGCACATCTTTGGCACGTTAAGTGCAAATAGTGCTTCTCTTGTTCGAAGTCCGTTCCGAAATCCGTATCACCAATATCCACATCTAGTTTTCTGTAAATTCTTGTGTGAATACTTTGAGAAATACTTTTAATGTGTGTCCTATTAAGCTTTTGCTTAATGTTTTTTGCTTTTTGCTAACTTGCTTTGCCTTTTTTGGTATGGTGACAAAATTTGACGGGTGCCGTTCCTTTGGTATTTTTCATATTTTCTAGGTGCACTTAAAAACTTTGACTAGAGTATTCACCGAACCACCTTCCACAGGCTTGAGAAGTTCCGATGTAAGCCCGTCTGGACCCGGTGATTTACCATTCTTCATTGTTTTTATAGTCTATAGTATTTCTTCTTTAGTTATTTCTGGTCCTTCGTCGCCTTCTCTTCTTTCTATTTTATGCTCTTGTATTTCATGGTTCGTCGAACAATTCTTCCAAGTCATAAGCTTTTGTTGAAGATCGGTTACTATTTCTCCATTTGCGATGCATAATAGATTAGTATGGTTCCGTTTCTGTATACCTGCCAATTCCTTTATCTTTTTATGTAAGTTAAAAGTGTCTTGTTTTACTTGCAATTCTTCAATTTTCTCGCATTTTCTTTCATGAAAAGTTTCTTTAGCTGTCCTTATTTCGATTCTGACTTGTTTGTGTACTTCATCATACTTTTGTCTGCATTTTGTCTTAGAATGTCTTCGCTTTTCTATCAGTCCCAAGATTTTTTCTGTTGTCTACTCTTGTTTCTTTTTCTGTATCTCTATGGTAAGCAAACTCTGGGCACGTTTTATTATGGCGCATTTTAAATATTGTCACTTCTCTTCTACAAGCATGTTCAGTGTCTTTGTAGAAAGCAGTCGTAAGTTATCATTAATGTGTCGTTTTAGATCTTCTTTGATTTTTGGATCTTGTAAGCGGTTGGTATCGATCTGATCTGTTTTTATTTTTTATGAAAGGTTTTTTATTTTAATGTGTACACGCGATATCAGGGGGTTATGATTTGAACTATTTTATTCAAACTCGCTTTATAAGTCGATGTGGTCCTACGAAACGTCATGACGGTCACCGGATTTAACACCAGTCGATTTTTTGTCTATGGCGTGCATTTGATTTTTTTTCTATAGGACTATAAATAATATTTGGACATAATTTTCGTAGTGCCGGAGATACTTATTGCATGTCGGATGGAAAGTAAAGATCATTTTCCACGTTTAGTACAATCATTGAAATTAGGTATCTAACTATCTATTTAAAATAAGTCATTCTATTAACAAGGGACTGCCTTAAAAAAATATAGCCCTTGTTCTAGCAAAACGGAATGCATTTTCAGTGCATTTTTATGCACTGAATACAGTTTTTGAACATATTTCTATAGAATGTCCACATGACTTCATGTTCTTATTTGAAAAAAGTTGAGGTAGCTAGGGATATAAATATTGTAGACAAGGAGTCAACCAAAAGTTGAGCAGTAATTTCAATAAAGTTACCTGTTGCAAAATCTGAATTTTATGCGGAACAAAAACAATAATGAAAGAAAATGTACATGGAAAAACATGAAATTGTTTTATATCATCATCATAATCTCAATGCTAGACCGTAGGGATTTCTAATTCCACTATATCTCGATGTAGATGACGGTCTCTTCTTTTTATGGCGTTTTATGTATCTCGATTTTTATGTATCTCGAGTGTCTCTTTGGAAGTTATGTGATTTTTTCGGGAATTTTATTTTGGTATGACTTTTTAAATCGCGATTTCTTCCACCAGATTAATTAACATTAATTTCCTACCACAATTTCAACGTTTCTAACATTTCCTTTTCGTCTGTATTTTCAATTTTAACTAATATTAAACGTCGAAAAACATCTTTTCAAAAAGTTACTAGATATTCAAATACGCGCAAAAAAACGAAATAGAAAAATGTTATAGTTTTAGTCTTTATCAAAATCCGAAGCACACACATATGGATTATTAAAAATTAAATATGTAAAAAACAGAAATGCGTGTTATCAGACGGATCGCACACGATTTGCCAAACAACAGTAAAAATTATTCTTCCACTCTCACTTCTTGTAGGTACGATTTAAAAATAATTTGTTGCGCATTAGAATTGGTATTTCCTTCAGGTCAATCCTTAAGTGAAGATATAAAACGTATTTTTATGGTCCTGTTTTTCATCAAAGTTTCTTCATAACACACATTTTTAAGCTTCTTAAATTCATTGTAGCTCAATGAAAGCAACTAAAACTCATTCGATATGATGAGTTGTCTTCTCGTTAGTGGGTTTTTCTGCTTTGCAATCGTTGCATTTTTTGCCTCTTTAAAATCGATGGTTTCAAACTTCTGGCTAATTGTAATTGCAAAATCATTAAGTATAATATTTTTGCATGAATAATTTTGCAGACATTCTATTGAAAGCTAATTTTATAATATTTTGGTATAATATATATTATATAAATATTTGTTCTATCTTTATCTGCTTTTGAACTGTCGAATTAATATTGTTTACACAAATCCACAAAATATTTTCAAGCGTACGATCTACAATTTTTTTAATTTTTATATTTTTTGATATATAGAATAAATTAGATAATATTCCACAACAGTTCTTTATCAGTAGATATATTAAATTTTTTAATAAAAGTGCAAAAAATTGTCGAAATACTCGCTAATATTTAAAAAAAGTGCATTGTTTATGTGGTCAAAGTAATATAGGTCGGAAATAATTTTGTCTTTTAAATATTAATTTAAATATAACATTCTATTTTGGCTTGACTAGATCGAAAATTATGTAACTAAAAGTAGATTTATAAAATTTGCTGATCTCATTGTGTATCCTTCTGATTTTCTTTCCGATTTTCTATTTTTTTGCTATTACTTTGCTATGTCAGCGTTTTATTTATTCTATCATTCCAACTACATGTGTAACAGTAGCGACCATTTGTTTTGATTTTTATATTACACAATTCTAGTATTCTGATATTTAAACGTAATTTTTACAAAGCATTTTTATTTAACATTTAACAATTTAAATTCTTAATTGATTTAACATGAACACAAAATTTAAATCCATTGTTGAATAAAACTAATGATTAATACAGACCAAAACGCACGTTACATTTTATGGCGAACTCAATGCTAGTTTGATTAGCTAATTCTTAAACATACTTTCGAGGTGTTGACATTTAGATAAAGTTATAGAATAAATAAAAATAATTAAAAATTTGACGACTTCCAGGAGTTTTTTGAAAATATATACAGTAAAAAAATAATATAGAAGGATGTTTCATTCTTTTTGGTCATGATATATTAAAGAACCGTGAAATTATAGAAGCATTACAAAAACTATCAACAGTAAAAAGATCCCAATCACATATGTGCTGTTTGGGAAAATGTGTGCTCAAAGCCGGTAGGAAAATGAAGGTATATTCATAGATAAGTGTGATTCCTGATGCCAGCAGCTAAATTTGAAAATGATGTGGAAAATGGCAAGGAAGTATGAAAAAACGCGCAACCTGAAAAAAAAAGTTCAAACAATAACAAATAGGTCCATACGAATTAAATATAAAATTTGAACTTATTTACGACTTGCTAAATACGTTCTCTAATTTATTCCCCAAATTGGTAAAACCAAAAAGGTAGGTAGTCGTTATATTCGGTTTCCTCCATCAGTAAACAATGAAAAAACTTTTAATTCAACTCAACTCAATTACTGAAAGAAACCACAATATTCGTTTCAGGCAAAAAGTATTTAAAACTGTTTTGACAAATAACAACCATATTTGACCCAGTTTTGGGCTAATTGGTATTTTGTTATTTAGGGCAGTTAAAGCAATCTACGTTTGGTTCTTTCGCTGGCCTAATTTCCCCAACAGACGTTTGACACACATTTTCGTTGATTTCCACTCTTTTCCGTTAATTACACTGTTTATGCCGGGTTAATTGCAAGCTTTTTTCAACTGGTGTTAAATTTGTTAATAACCTAAATAATGAAATTAATATTAGCCCGTTGAAATGTTTTCTTCGCGCCCTAAATACCAGAGAAGAAAGGATAAGAAAGCAAACACTTCTCGCAAGCACAACGAAGATATAAATTACATAATGAAAGAAAATGTTTTATTCTCCACTTGTACTTTAATCTGGATTCACACGTTAATATCTATTTAAATTATATCTTGTGTTAGTATTTTCTTTTCATTTTAAGGGCTGAGAAAATAGTGCTTTTTTTAATTTTATTACGTTCATATCAGCTAGTTCGAAAAAGAAAGAATCTTTTAATACTGTATTGATTGATTTTTCTAATATTTGCTATCTAAGTTTGCCAGAAGATATTTTCATACATTGTTGGTTTTATTAAAAATCAGGCCAATGTGGAAGCGAGAAGTGCTGAAATCCTGGATGGTCAAATTAAACAGTTTGAAATTTATCTATTTCGGCTTAAATGACCTTAATCAACAATTGTTTATTTACACTGGAGTTTTGAGTTTTAAACAAAACTGCAAAAGGACTATTAGATTTTTCTGTATCAGGTGCGTACTGATAATTATTGACAGTCCGCATAAAATGCATTAAGAAGCTTGGAGATTTAATTTCGGTTGTTATAGATCGACCGCTGAGCGGAATAACCTGCTAACTCACAGTCCGATTCAAGAATCGGCTAATTCGCAATCCGCTTCAAGAACCGGTTAACTCGGGACCGTTTTTATTCTTTCTAAATTGGTGGTGGCAGCCCTGCACGATTTTAATATACGATTCTTGTTAAATATAGGTACGCTATTAAAAATTCTGAAAAAAATTGGAGCTGTCTCTAACAGTCCCCTATACAACAGCAATTTTTTCTAAATTATTGAAATATTTGAAAAATGTTGAATATTTTTGGTAGGTGCCGAAATGTTTTAACCTATTGGCAATGCTGCTATACAGGGTGATTTACGTAGACCCAATGTATTTTACATGGTTTCGGCACTGCTCATTATGCAGGAACCAAAACTTGATGATGAAGATTCTAAAACTGCAAGTTGGCAAAATTTTAATGCACTGTCTACGTAAATCACCCTGTTACCATATACACCTACTCTCACTGAACATTTTGTTACCAAAAGAGAAATTTACAAGGAATAACAATTTCAATAATTTTGGAAAAATTGCGAATGTATAGGACAATTGACATCTTAGAGACAACTTCAATTTTTTTAACAATTTTTCATAGAGCGTATATTTATCAAGAATGTATTTTAAAATCGTGCAGAGCTGCTACTACAAATTTAGAGAAAATACAAATGCTCCGAGCTAACCGGTTCTTCAAGTCGTTCGCGAGTTAGCCGGTTCTTCAAGCGGACTGCGAGTTAGGCGCTTGTTTAGGCGGACTGCGAGTTAGTCGGTTATTCCCCTCAGCCGTCGAGATGTACTTCTAAAAATGCGATTTAGGAACAATAAAAATGGCAAAAATCCATATATAATTATAAAACAAATATATTAAATAATAAATCATTGTATTCAAATGACTAATTGCAAATAAGATGTGGAAATTCTACGTTAAAACAGAACAACTATAGTACACTAGATCTGTGATTTAGCTATTAGCACTAGATCAGCTGTAATATCTACTTCTTTAATAACGGTATTTTGGTTATACAGAATTCAAAATGCATATTTACAGTTAACATTTGCAAAATTACGGAAGAGATGCAGTCTCTTTGATAATTTAGGAACCGTATAGAAATGTTTGAAATGAGCTCAGTGTTTAATTTTTTTTTTATTTGATACGGTTGGTGGCGGACCTTAAACTATTTCCTTAATTAAATCCAATTTGAAAGGGCAGAAAGACCGATTGGGTCGATAGCCCTTTTCTGTAGGAAATAAAGATTATTTATATATATATATCCAATTTGAAAAACTATTTATTTAAGGTAACATTTGCTTCTATTTTTTATTAATAAACATACATCTTTACATTTATTAATTATAAGTGTACATATTTTGTCTAGAGGGCATATTTTGGACATTCTCAGATGCAACGAAAATTGTTCATTATGTCTGACGGATAATAAAGTATATTACGTGTTATTACTTGTTACAAATTTTTTTAAATAAAAAACTGATATAAAACCAGTAATGGCTGAACATTTATATTATTCAACCAATAGTAAATCTGCTAGAATGCTTGTAAACGTTATAGTGAATATCAAGAAACAAAGTCTAGGGACTGATTATAATTTTCATCAAATGGTGGTCGGATAATCCAGATAGCGAAAACCATCAGTTAAAGTTTCAGCTTATCCGCTACGAAACCTATTCACTTCTTACGGCTTAAAACCATTTAATACATTTCTGAAGATAGTAGCAAAATAAATGTTTTATTCAAAATAATTAAAACATACTGATAAATAAATATGAAAATACGAACAGCCCAATTTCATTATCACTTATTCTTTGCCAACGCTACTCCGACGCCGACAAGTGCCCCAACAGCCAGAAGTGCTCCTCCCGCTACAAATATGCCTCTCTGGCCTTCTTTCTGCATTTTCTTCGTAATGTTTTCCTTCAGACTGATAAGTTGTACATTTCCTGCAAAACATTGTTTATTTAGAATAATTTTATACGGTAAATTTACGTCGACGTTTAATATACTTTCTCAAGGGCGACTTGGTTGCAGATGTGCTTTCCGCAGCAGTGTTTTAATACATTTTCGTTAATTTGAACAACAATTTTAGGTTTTAAATTATATCAGTCTATACAATAGCATCTACTTTTGAGGTATAAAATGTAAGTGTCACTGTCTTTTACAATAGCAATTTTTTAAATAGATCAATTTTATGCTTGATAAGAACATTTACGTGATTTCAGATAATGAAAAAGTTTGGAACTAGACAAGGGCAGATCCAGCTTTTAAGTCATGGGGGGTCATGTAGTGGGGATTCAGTCCGGACATGGACATTTAATTAAATATATATATATAAGTTACAATAATAAATGTAATTAAAAAAGTATTGAATTGTTATATGTCGCAGTAATTTTAATCAAATGACAACGAGTTATGACTTCCTCCACTTCAATCGCTATGGTTTGGTGAACGTGGAGAAGTGCCAGTCCAGTTAAGAGCTCTTCTGTCATTTAAGATCTAAAAAATAGGCAAAAACCTGATCCGAGAATGCGGGCCAAAATAAAGCGACTGATTCCACCCCTCTTAATGAGGCGTGCAGATAGAATGTGGAGCTTCTCTTTACGTCACTTTTGCACGACACATCCAGATTTTCATAAAAATTTACTTTATGACTCAGCTTCATAAAAATTGAGCAAAATGCTAAATCGAGAGCTCATGTAAAGAGCAGGTTTCGTCGTCGGAGCATTCAATATGGCTCTACACAACATATCCAGCTGAACAGACTCAAAGTTTCATAAAAATCGAACAAAAGTCCGAGAGCATTTAATTTAGCATGAAAAAGTCTATTCCGATCCATGATTGGAGATGCTCATATTTGCCTGAGAAACCTGTTTTGTTCTCGAGGTCCATCTAAACTAGTTTAAACCAGAAACTTGATTTTGAAAATATTTGCGGGCGAACAGGCACTTCCCACAAAACAGTCAACAATAAAAAACGGAAATCGAACTGCAAATTGTTTATCCAAAGTGACGATCAAGCAAAAAATTATATCATCACATTAATTCTGTAGTACGCTGCCTTCGGAAAGTGGTAAACACCTCAAGACAAGGGCGCTAGATTATCTGCTTACTGAAAGATTAAGGTTTTCAATTCGGAGTGGATATTTATTGTTTGTCCAAGTGTAGTGTTACGTTTTTGAAGAATAAAGAGTAGAAGATGGAGGATCGGACACCAGCTTGCAGAAAGCTGGTAAACACACATGCGTTCTAATCTATAAATCATTTAGCTTGAACTGAGTTTAGTTTTTCGAGAAGCAACTGAAGTTGATGGTATTTTTTATTTCTCTTTATTTCCTCTGTTTATATCAAATAATTAAACTTTTGACAAAATTTTCTTATATTAAAGAATGTTTTTCTTTCTTTCCAGGTGGCACGATGCAGCTTTCGGTAAGTTTGGCATTMGTTTGCGCCTGGTTGCCATGTAGATGTAGAGCTTTTAGTCCCACATTRTCGACTTGTATTTTATAATATTGTTGCGTGTCATATTTATTCAACGTGGAACGACGAGGCAGTTTCTGGATTCTGTATTGAATTTGGAAAATTTTCGTTTCTCTACAGAAGACTCTTTTGAAATGTAAAATTATTAACTTTCTGTTGTGAACTATTTTTTCATTGCCTTGGCAGGTACTTTACGTCATTTGCATGTATTTTCTTCTTTAAATTATACCCTAAATTAAACTGTTGAATTGTTAATTCAATTTTTCAAATTAAAAATATTTTTTACTCAATTTTGACTGTCATTCTCTAAACTTTTAAAATTAAAACACTTTAAACACATTGATGTGACCACATGTATTGAAATGTTGATGTATGAACAAAACTGGTTTGATTAGACACTTTATGTAGATATTTGGGTTATTTTTGTTTAGTTTGATTATTGTTGGTTATCCGTTGATACTTTTTAAATAATGTCAATCAGCTATCTTAATCAAAACAAACGAAAATCGTAAACTTTCGAACCTCGAAGTGGTTGAAAAAGACATTTCTCGTAGGAAATCGATTTAAAAAGTGTTGGTAGAGGGATTAACAGTTAGAAGAGGGAAGTAGGAAATTTATAACGGAAGTAAGTTTTTATTGTCGAAATTCAGAAGGGCTAAAACTAGATAATAGCAATATTTGAATTATTTTAACTCAGCTTCTCAACTTTAGTCAGGTTTTCCGCAGGGGTTTGTTTTAATTTAAAGTTAACAAATTAAATCTGCTTAAAAAGCACTACTATTTTTCTGTTGTAAATCAATTTTTTTGCTGTATTCAAATGTTAAAATGGCACCGAATCCAGACCAAAATGCCTAAAGGTAGGTGGTATTTGTTTATTGCTTTGTGATGGTTTAGCGGATAGTGCCCTAAGAAACTGCAAGTGATTCTGGACTACTTGTTTAGATATTAGCCGGTTTTTGCCAAATTCTACACTAAATAAATTATTGTTTTCAAACGATTCTGGCTGGGGAATTTCAGCGGCTTGGAACCGTCCGATATAATTCAGATTTGTTGCCATCCAATGCCCTTCAGGCTGTAAGTGATCCAGATCAAGATTTTAAGCGGACTAACAGCTACTAAATGAGTTTTTTCTGAAAAAATCGGGGTTTAAGGCAATTTTCGTCTGGATCCCGACAGCATTCCATTTTGTAGAAGTAAGTAAATGGCAACCAGGGTTATGGTTGCACTTTCTTCGTATGCTTTAGAATTTTCGTCGGATTCAACAGGTAACTTTGTCAGGTGATTATATTCACCAATAATAGCGTTTTTTTATCGACTTAGGTTCCGCATCAATCTGAGGCAGCAATGGAAACATAATCGCACGAAATGTTGTTACATACCGATTTTGACCTTATTTCTAACCGATGGTTATCAACAGTATTAAATATGTAAACATTTGAATTGTAATTTGAATATGATTATCACGCTAAAAGCATGGACTGGGTGATGAAAGAAAGGCACTTTAGCGCTTCGGCCCATTCTAACAAACAAAATTATTTGATTGAATTTAGAGATAATCCTCGTTTGAGACATTTAGCATTAGACAATTAACTAATGCTTTATTTATAATGTACACATAAAGAGAGACAGATAGAGCAAAACCACAATTAAAAAAGGAGCCTTCGTATGCAAAAAATTATATTCTTCCGAAAATTTGGGTACGCGACCTTAAATGTCCTGGAAATTTTTTGACTGAGACTGAAATCGTCTATTCGGCATTAGTCTTTCAATGTCAACTTTTCACCCAATATTAATTTCTCAAAAAACTTTTTTTTTAAAGGTTGCACACCTTCTGAGTTGGAAGTCGTTTTACTCCCTTATTGTTGCCGCTATCCAATGAGGCTGAATTTTTGTTGTTATTTTTACAGCTACTTCTTTGACCTTTTTGGGGGTTTTAAAACTTTTGAAATATCTTGACATTTGGCGAAGTTGCGGGCAAAAGAGCGCAAATGGAACAGTAGAACGTTGCCAACATGCAGGTTTTATTATCTCCCAAATCGTTGCCAACGTCGATTTTTTCAAGGCAGCTGATCTGTAGCGAATACCCGTAGTAATCCAGGGCATTTTTTCCTTTTGAAATATTGAAAAATTTGAAAAAATTTAAACTCCCTTGGCGCTAAAACGGTGACTAAAATGAACTTTAGCCCTGAAACAACTTTTCACGCCAAGTCTATGAGGCTTTTAAAAAGTTTTTGAATTTCTGAAAAATATTGATATCTGACCGAGATACAGGGCAAAGAGTGGAAGTATGTGAGTGTTTTACGCTTGCCAATATCCAGAGTCCATTACCTTCCAAACTGTTACAAATACACATTTTCTTATAGACAGTGAATGTGCCGAGAATACACTTAGCAAACAATCTACTGTTTTGTGAATCTGTTCGGGAAATGTTCTGTGCGACCTTAAAATCATCATAACTTCCAAATTTTTCAACCAATTGCAATTTTCCGATATGCAGTTTGTATAGAAGAGTACGTTTTTCAACAAATTTCCATATCGGCCCGATATTAAGAGTTGTTCCGAAACTTGCTACATACAAATAGCTGTTTTTCCAAAAAAATTGCGACCTTAAATCCACATAAATCTGACCTCATAACATTTATCAATTTTGCAAAATATGATTTTTAGACAAAATCACTCAATGATTCAAATCGAACCTGTATTAAGCATTAAGCGAGTTACTTATTTATTCATACTGAAAGATCTGATGCACCATATAATTATAATAACAGCATAATATTCATAATATGCGTGTCATTCGCGTTGGTGTTTGCCATCATACAAAGTATTTATTTTCTTAGTGTCTATAAAATTAGAAAAAATATCATTAGTTCACATAAACCGAGCACAAGGGGGGAGGGGGGGTCATGACCCCCATGACCCCCCTTCTGGATGAGCCCTTGGCACTAGAGTGTAAAAAAGTGTTTAAAAAATCCAAACCGTTTATGCATTTTGCTTTGTGATTATCATGGTGTAACACACACTATTCAAAATAATTTACTACTTGATATAGTTTGTTGGTGTTGCATAGATAAAAAAAACCTTTGGAAAAATATAGGCCAATTTTCATATTATAGCAGGGCAGCTTAAAAATTAATAACCATTTGAACATAATGTTCGCGTGGTTCGGTAATTTTCCGTTCTCTGTAGAATTGCATCTGTAAGATAAACTGTATGAAGAAATATTATTCCTTCAAAATTCACTTTAAATGTCTCCAGACAGTCAGTTTAGCGTAAGCATTAGACAATATCTGAAAAATACATTTACCTGGAATTATGTTTTAAGGGAGCTTTTTAAGATACAACCGCTTTCCAAACTCTTCAATTTCACTGGGAGTAACCGATAAAACATGTCTTAAATATCTCGATGAGCAATGATCATTTGGAAATCATAATGGATAAAACGAGTACTTCGTTTAGAAAAACTGGTTGTTAAAGCCTTCCAACTAAAGAAAAATGTGTCTTAAATCAAACAAGAATTGAATTGCACAAGCACCCTTACAACAGATAGAAAAAACATACGTTTTACACGCATCTCATTAATAGTCTTTCTACCAAAACAGGAATATTGCTTGTTAGAAACTCCTAGTTCCAAAAAATCCAAGAGCCGAAAAAGTTTCCACATTCAACAAAGATTTGATTTTTATACACCTTCATTAGTACACAAAACTGTGCATACTAAAAAGAAAAAATACAAGAAAATTTTCAATCTATACACAGGGTTTTCTAAATAATAGTAGCCAATCTTAGTACCTTTTAAAACTTTTCTTGATAAAATTAAAATGTCCGTCATTTCTTATTAATTTCATCAACCTTTTATTAATCACAGCAGTTGCCTTTCAATTTTCAATCCTAACCAAGCCATGTGTTGGAAATGGTTGCAAAGGTTATTGAATTTTGATCATCCTCATGACTTCAGATTGCAAGGAATTACATTATTCATTATGTTTAATCACATGAGATTGAAACGTATAAAAAAGTGTTGATTTTACAATTGTTAAAATACACTCTAATGGCTGATTATTGAATTATCTGGCTATTCGTGCGGAATCTCATTGTTAAGTCTAGAATAATCTTGCTTGCAAACTATTAGAATATCTCAGCGACTTGCATAAACATAATGGTGGGATAATTTGAAACCGAAACATTGTCAATAACATTGCTGAAAAAATAACATTTCTTCATGCTGATTTTAATAAATGATACATATTTGCAACTCATGGAAAATGTTTAGTAAACAAAAGGCATCTCTGAGTAGAAGGTAAAAAAAATAGTGGAAAAACTCGAAGCAAAGTTCAAGACGAAACCTTCATATTGAAGATAGAAACATGTTCTAAAATGCTTTCTTCGATCCACAAGATGTTAGAAAAATCGTTTTTGATCGTTATTTGTTTAAATTATTTTTCCATTTTTTATTGAAAGTTGCTGCAAATGTATACACTTCATGAGCCGAGTGTTCCCTATGGAAAATAATGTTTCAAATGCAATTTCACATACAGTATGATTCAGATTTATGGTTGTGGTGATCCCTCATACGGCGAACGGTGTTTGTTGTACGAACTGAGCTCAAGTTGATAGCAATCTTGAAGACATTTTTCCGGTAAATGTACGGTGTTGGGAATCTTTTAATAGGGCCTTCTTTTCTATCCGGAAATACTCTAGACTAGATGATCTTGCGTATCCGTATCGCCAATTTCTAAGACTAAATTGACCGGCATTGTTTTAAGATGTTCCTCTAATCTACGACAACAAATGCAGTTTATACCCGACCATTTCAGTCGTTGGCTCATAAAACTTTGAATGTAACGTTTGAAAATCACTGTCGAGGATGCCCTTATTCGTTGCCACCTGGATCGCCAGACCGCAATAATTTGTGGGTAAAAGTGTGAGTTGATGAGAAGTAATCAATTTTCGTGAGTTGGAGTCATTTTCAGCAACTACTTTCAAAATTAAATATTCTATCTAAGTATGTCTCGCTTAAGTTAGTAAGATTAACGTTGTTCTTAATAATTATTGTTTCGTTAACTACAAATAATTTTTGTGATGTAGTCATTATTGATTTAAGCAAATTCTTGCATTATACTGAGAATTGGAAAAATTAAAATTAAATGGAGGATCCAAATATTACCAGAAGACAAGATATCCGACGAATGAAAACTCATGATCCATAAATCTGAAACATCATTTAGGTGACATTACTCCTCTTATTATGTGTATTAATTTACAGCTGCTTTTCAATAAAAAAAAATTACAGCTATTTTTTTAACATTTTAGTAAATGTCTCACCCAATTCATTTTTTCACCATCTATTTAGACGCACACAGCTCACACACATATTTTCTTGTTACTTAAGTTTCCTAATACTGGCACTCTTTTAAGCTTTCTGTGCGTTTATAGCTTAATGCCGAAATTCGTCAATATCTAATATGTCCGTGCCAAGAAGCAAGATCGCTACTAATAATGTACGTTTATCATAGGCCAAACATGCACTAGTTTCAAGTAATTGCAATAACAAAAACATGTAGGCATTTTAAGTGTGTGCACAAATAAAGAGTACAAATAATTATAAACTGTTGCCAAATAAATTAATACGAATTAATTCAATTTAACTGAGAACAATTAAATGAAATGATTATTCCATAAATTAAAAAATGATGTAATATTTGAGAATATTATCACTTACCAGGTTCAATGGACAAAAATGACCGGACATATCCGAGGGCCTTTGCATATTCCTTAATTCTTGCATTACCTATGGCTAAGTAGTATAGATAATCCCTTTGTCCCTCTACATCATTTCTGTATAGGTCTTCTAATAAAACTATTCCCTTTTGGATGTCTGCTGGATACTTACTACGCACCAGACACCAAGCGTACTCAAATTTGGCTTTCGGTGTAACATCGTTTCTGTACAATTGCTCGTGGTATATTTTCTCGAATTTCTGCAAAGATACATGGTTCACTTTCAAAACATATTTAATTGAACTTAGGTTACAAACGTATTGGATGAGTCACGTTAGATTTCTAGAACATTTTTTCCTTGGTTTTATCCAATTCCGAATAAGCAAACGCCTCAACACAACAAACCGTCTTAAACTGAGATATCCGGATCGAAACGCTTGAATTTTTTCAATGAATTTGAATAGACAAATCACATTTTGGAACAAATAGGGCGAGCACAGTTTGAGCAAAGTATTTGAGTACCAAAATGAATAATTCAACACAGAATTCGAGTTCTCAAATCACGTAACTTTTGTGATAAAACTGCAACAAGAAGCAAAATAGGGCCAAGTCAAAGTTCAAGAAAATTGAAAATATATGCCCTATTAACCCAACAATGATCGTTACCTTTAGATCTTCAGGAAGAACTATTTCTGAGAGGACATCAGCCATTTTTCACAACTCGTTTGCAACAATATCACAAAATTTTTGGTTTGATTGATAATAATAACAAACGTCGAGAAGACTGTCCCAGATTCTTAACCTTGAAATGTCCGGGTACAAAGATCGGTATAATTCAGACGAGACATTGCAGTAGACACATCCAGACAATTCACAACGCATGCGGTGAGCGGCCACATATGTTCAAACAAATGCGAATGTGCGCAAATTGTTTGTGGGCTCTCATCACATGCGTGGCGGTTGGTTCGTTTTCTTTTGAATATTTATAGTTGAGGAATTTTTTTAAATATTACGCGTGAAAATGGCGAGTCGTTTAACAGAATATGTTGACATTTTTAGGTTAATTTTTACAACTTGTTGATAGAGATATATATTCTGTTATAAAAGGGTATGTTTTTAAGTATGTACATATTAGCTTTTTCAGGAGTGTGACGCTAATGAAATTTCATCATTTTAGGATTAGAGATTAAGAACTAAAAACAACAGTTTTTACGCAGAAATTGTATATTTTAGTTTAACAAATTAATTTTGATAGAAATAGAAAACTTTAAATTGAATCTTCAATTCAAAATATTAAGAGAAACTTTTATTGAGATTTCTTCTGTGGAAACTTACGTAGGTATTAAGCAGCGCAATTTTCCCACTATTCCAAACCTTTGGGACAACAAATATTTATTCTCAAATTGACATTTTCTTTATGTAATTTGACGATGATGATGTTTTTGCAACTTTCACTTGTATTTAAATAGATTAAATAGAAAAAGTGAGTACGAAATTAGAATTTTTTTAAATTAATTCTGTAATAAAGAAATTTCGACCCCTGTTAGTGTGTATAGTGTAACTGTATCTTCATTGACTAAATGAATATCATTTTTTTTACTATTCTATAGAAGGCACGCAAAGAGGAGTTAAAAGAAAAAATAGCTTGGTTTCTTCTTTCTTCTGGAATTTACTTAAATTATTTCATTGTTATTAAAAATTATTATACCACAAAACTACGATGAAAAATATTAAATTACCTAAAATTCGAAAACTTGTTCTGACAAAAATAATTAAAATAGATATTTCCTGCTATTTGTGAAATGGGAGTGTCGAGTGTTCAAGATCTACTATACTTTTCAACAACAGAATATATCTGCTTTTAGTTTAAAAAAAAACTGTGTAATGCGCCTCTTTAAAGGTTTTTGGATAAATATAAAAACATTTTTCCATTGTTTTAATAAAATTGTTGCAATGTGCAAAGCACGTCCGACCCAGCAAAAGTATTAAAAGTGGTCTAATAATAGTAGTAGTATTTTACTGATAATAATTTCAGTAAAATTATTTTTTTTTTTATTTACATTCATTTATGTTTATGGTATTGCAGTTATGTTCATCGTTTTACTTATCATTTTTTATATTTTTTTAATGACTGATATGCACATTAGGTCCACGCCTCAGATAAAGTATCTTCACACGAATGCTTAGGGCATTCGCGTCTAAAAAGGTTAAGAACAGTTTGAGCGCACATCAGCACAGACGCATGGAGGAAGCGTCTACTTTACATTAAACTAGAAACTCAATCAGAAAGCCAGTCTAATCACACCTTTCCTATGGTATCAACAAAAGCAAGGGAAAATCTGTTTTGTCTCTGGCTCTGGTATAAACGTGTATTTCAATATTTTACTAAAGTAAGTCCCCTTGAAGGGGTTAGTGGCTTTTGCACGGCCCCGCGGTTTTATACATTTTTTTATATGGTCCCGAACACATTGGAAAAGGAATATTAGCTAATGAGACACGAAAGCTTATTCAGTAGACATATTTAACCCGCATTCGCCATCTAGAGGAACTGTGTGACGTGTCATTTGGAGTCCGTTGTTAGTTAATTCTTATATTGAAATTCTGATGAATATGAAAAATTAATAGCATTAATGATATGACAATTCAATAGGAGAGTTGATAGTTGATAATAAAAATATTTTTATACCATAAACTTGTTTTTTCCCAAAATCAATTAATTAAAAAGCGCTGGCATTAAGTATGATTTAAAAAATTTACACTTTAAAAATTAAAATTTAAAGGCGTCCTGTTTGAAATTAGAAAAATAGCAATGTTTAACAATTTTTTTAAAACATCTTGTATATAATTATACTCTTCTCATACGATTGTGAATAAAATAAAACTTTTTTTGATGGAAACATTGCAAAATATAGTTGCAAATGTTTCATTCAAATTCAAGTATGGGCAGCACAACATACAAGTCTAAAATTAAAGAGAAACAATCAAATTTATGTATGGAGCTTTTTGGAAATTTCTTTGAAGAGAGGCGACTTAGCGGCGTTTATTTTCGCTATTACAAAAAGTGCTCTTTTTTAACCCTTATTTATTATACCAGGTTTTCAATAAATATACCACTCATACATCAATGATACCAGGCATACATCATTAAAACATACATATGTATGTATGTAAGATTAATATCATATAATGCGTATTGGAAATTACCTACTCGGACGCATTTAACAAAATATAATGAAAATTTTTGTTCTCGCAAACGCACTTATTTAAGTCGATAATAAAAGAGGTACTTAATAATGTTTATACAGATTGTTTATATTTGGGCTTATTGAAACAACCATGTTTTTAAACAAAAATAAACCTCAAAAATCGACTAATTCTAATACTTTATAGTTTACCTACACTCAATATATTTATTGAGAATTTTAAATTAATTGGAACTCTAGAAGTAAAATATTGGATTTTAATCAAAGGAATTTGCCTTGGATTTTTGATCGATAAAAACTAGATTACTATTGAGATTATTTTTAGCTAATACGTTTGAAACACGTAATTATTTTATAGGTAACTTTCTTATTTATATCAATAAATTTGAATTTTACCACATATTCTTTACCGGAAACAATTGTCGGCGTCTTTAATGTTTTTGACTCCGATTTTGCACTTGTTTTCGTTCCATATTATCAGCATTGTTATTCATACACGCTATAAAAAAATACTCTCCATATAATAATATCATGTTGAATGCAAACGGTTGTTTTTATGACTTCAAACTGAAAATTTTGAACTGTTTATGACCATAAGCTGTTCATGTAACTGAAACCCGTAATGTGTTATGACTCTCCAAACACACGTTACCAAAGGGCTATTAAACATTCCACAAATTTCCCAGGGAAGATCGATTAAAAAACAGCTGTTTAGAACCATATTGTCTACGTTTTCAATAAGGGGGCATTATAACCCAGTTTAAAGTCGTTTTATAGTCTTTTTAGTCGTTTAAAATGCTTTGTTTTTTTTTAATTAACAATTTATTGGTTAAGTATATTGCAACTTAATTTAAGTATGAAATTTTTGCTTGAGCACGTAAGTCGACTGACGCTAGAATATAGGCACAAGTTAAAACGAATTTGGTGCTGTTACAAGCAGCATACATTTAAGTATGTTTAAAAATATAATTAGCGGCGAAACTTAAAGTCCAAGGTGGAATTATTACTACGCACGTAAGTCAAGTTTTCCACTCTGCAATTATGAATTTCGTTCGCTTTTCGCTATTTTTTTTAAACTAATTACTCGCATTTAAATCGTAAGTAAATGATCATAATTGCCAAACTGATACAAGTATCAAAAATGTGTATATTAACATAAGATTATTTTAAATGGTTAATATCTATTAAAATTATACTAATTTTCATAAATTCTTATAGGCAATCTGGCAAGTCCTGAAAACGGTATTCTATACTTACCTTCGACTTCGCAGTTGCATTACTTACCCAATAACTGCTAACGGAAGTTAAAGTAAAGGCAAAAACTCGAACTTTTGCCTCTAGAAGATTTTTTAAAATCAAATTGAATAAAATGAATAATGAATATGAATGAATGAAAATACGTATTTACGAATGTTTAGGAGACTGGAATATAGGCAGTTGCGTCTTCTGTCTTCAGTAAGTATAGAAAAACTGAATATAAAATTATTTAAAAAAAACTAAATCTCTCTTAACCATCATTTTTTTTTAAATGCGTTCTAGGAATCTATCGACGATTTTCCTAATAAGCACTGTCACTTTTCAGCGATTAAATCCACTAGTTTTTGTTGTTTTCGAAGAACCGAATTCTCACACCTAGCAAATAAAACAATAAATTAATATTTGAAATCATTTATTTGCAAATAAGTATGATAGGATAAATTTGGTATGTACAAAACCTCCTATGCTAATATTTACATAATATAAAATTCTAATAAGAAAATTTACATTTTGTCACACATACATTCATCAAAATAATTTATAATATGACTAGCTCAAGAAATGTTGTTAGCTGCCTATTCTAAAAATGTAATAGAGGCATATCCGTTAATCCCATACTTATGAATTTCATCTGTTTATATACAAAAAAACATTTAAACTGAAATAAATTACATTTAATTAATTAGGTTTAAACAAAGAACCGACGATAACTTTCTTACACAAAAGTGAACCAAATAATTATATTTTACATTGAAACTGGTAAAATAAATAATAACATTTGTATTTAATAACCATATGGGTGGATTCTTACATAATAGTTATTTACATTTATACATATTCATAATAATCGTAAAATTTTAATTACAATAATTGGTATTTAATTTCGTAATATTGATACTTAGCAACTTTAACTGTTTGGTTATTTGCACTTTTAAAGTTTAATTTTGAACTCGTCCATATGGGTCTTAGAAATACAATGTACGAATAAGGCTTACTATCTGAAGTATCTTTAAAGCAAATAAATTCGCACTGCATCAATTTTTTGTGAACTAAAACGGTACGCTGTGAACGGTGAAAATATATACATTTAGGTGTCTTATTAAAATGAAATATTGCATAGTTTTACATAATACGAGGGTTTAAATATTCTCAAAACAATCTGAAAATACCAAACCTGGCATTCTAACTATGTATTTATAAATTCGTTGTGTCATTTTGTGGCTGTTGAACATTCAAACACAACACATAATAAAACACAACATATATTTTCATTAAAAACTTGGATAATACAAAAAAAGAAAATAAACAACTTTAGCCACCTAATATCACAATCAGCGTGTTGAAAATATGTATATTACATTAAATTACATAGACTTTTTGTTGAGAGCCATTACAACATGCGAGCGCGACTTCAATCGGATTATAATTATAAATTAATACACAAAATCGTGTCCTGGGTTGCATTATTCACAAATCATAACGCCCATAAAAATGTAGTTTTTGTAGTTTGGTTGGGATGGCTACTAATAAGTAGATGTTTCGACCAAACAATTCCGTTATGGAGAATACTAACAAAAACAGCTATTAAAATAATTGGAAAAAAAATTGCGGCAACGAGCTGAAATGCCAACAGAAGTTTTTAAACATTTTTGAAGAATCTATACAAGTTTAATACACTTAAGCTTTTCCTATGAATGAGAGTAGATGAAATCGTATTTTAATCGATAGAGATCCAGATTCCAGTCGAATTGTAAATTCTTCCTATTGAATATAATATCTGGCAGATGTTTCTCTCCTTTGAAATCTTTGTAAAACTCTTAAGGTACAAATGGAAATTTTACCGTTGACATTATTATTTTTACAGCTACAAACGAGCTTATTAAATTGATTCGACCCAAGACTTCAAGAGTTTAGATAAATACTGAATATTCTTCAAATAAAAATATATATTTAGTACTTATTTCCAAGATTTTTGTCCTTCAAAGTGTAAACTAACGTTTATATCTTAAAGCACAGGTAGAAATACGTAGCTATTATGCGTATTATAAATGTTTCGAACAATTAAGTGCAATCCGACTTTAGTACGTAATGTCGCAATTTAAAAAATGTCATCTAGGCGGATTCGGAAACACAATTAAGTGTATTTTATAAAATTGTAAGATAATCACACCTAGTTTTGGAACCGGCAAAAGATATTCGTTACCAACGGCCGTATATACAAGGTGTCTTAAATGTCTGGAAACACATGAAAATATCGAAAAAACATGTTAAATGCCGGGAAACACGAATATTTCGAAAAAGCAATATTTTAAAATAAAAATTAAATCACTTGATGGTATATTTGCATTCCAATCTACAACTGTGGTCAAATACTTTGTTTTTCAAGCCGTTTCATTGCAAGTTTCAAGGTGTTACATCGGGATATCCTGGTGGCCCCTCAATCGAGCTTCTATTATCAATTCATCTTATTTTGTATGAAAATATCATCTACTTATTGGACGATTTTTTGAAGAAATAGTATGGATATTTTCAAATAACCTTTGTTAAAGTATCCAGGCTCCATTTTTCGTTTATGGCATTTTTTAATCAATGTGTAAAGAAAGCGCAAGTGTTTTTAGTAAATTTTAGATGTAAATAAAAAAGCCTAGTTCTAACTCTGAACTTAAGAATTTTAAACTGAAAAAATATTAAGCAATTAGAACAAAAAACTGTAATTGCATAATTGTGTAACTGCTCCAATTGCAAAAAGCGTTTTTTTTTTAAATTATTATCGCATAAATCAGAAAACTGGTATAAAATTAAAGTTTTCGACCGAGAATGCAAATTTACAATTACAAGAGGTCGTTCCCGTTTAATAATTTAAATAATTGTCGAGGAACGAGGAAGCTCAAGCTAAGTTGCTTGCCCTTTAGAATTGCTGGATGTACAGGGTGACCCAAATAAGGCGTAGAAATACTGAATTGCATAAGTATATAAGCTGTGCAATGACTATGCTGGCAGCGATTCTCGAAGTAAAGTGACAAAGAATTAGGGGATATGTTATTTTAATTATTGAAATTGTGAAATTTACTGTTAGTTTAAATTATTAAACATTATGTCAGTTTTACTAAAATTGCTCCTATCTATTGTGAGAACGATATCCAAGTGTAAAGTCGATGACGGCCATTAAATAAATTGTTCAATTTTTCTGGGCAATAAATTGTGAAAAAGTTGATAGTGTAAACCGACATAAGAAACATTTGCTTACTCTTCTTCCTGTACTGCCTTGACCTCTAGAGGAATTGCGCCAATTTTGAATCCCGTACATTTTCCAATTGTATTTTACAAGTGGAGCTTTCTAGGTATATAAAAAACTTAATTTCAAGATATTCAACCGTTTCCAGTCTCTTGGACACCCAGCATATACACAGCCAAAAAAACACCTATTAATTAAAGTGCTAATGCCATTCTTTCGTTAAAACGAGACCAAAGAAATCTGATAGTCCCAGTGTAAAAGCGTATTGTATACCCGAAACGAACACATTGATTTCATCTCCCTTCTGTCATTTTCATAGTTTCGTAATACTTTTAAAATGACTGGGCCGAACAAATAATTATTAAGTAGAATGTAAGTGCTCTTAAATAAGATACCGAAAGTACATAAGGATGCTCAGTTTTTGTATTCGACTCACTTCAATTAGTTTTCCATTAAAAACTACGAAGTGATAATGGTAGGTACAGTAATGCACTCGAAACTTGATAAACAGCCTTTCAGAAATAAACGAGTCGAAATTGGTAACCTGAATTTTGATCAGTGCGTTAATTTTTATTTCACAAGTAATTCAATATGACACTTGAACTTGTGATACTTGAAGAAAATGACTAGAATAAGGCTATAATGGGCGCGGCGTATTGAATCGTCGATCGATTTTATTGAGACCGCGAACATTCCAGCGAACCCTAGTTATTTCCTTGCAAATTCTATAGTTACACAGCTAACGGCAAATTCACCCAGTATCACAGAATTCTTATGAGATAAAAGGGCAGCCGCATCTACCCAACGTTTTGCAGACAAAAATATACTTATCTTCTACTGTACAGTCTTTCTATTTCGTAAAAAATCACATATTGGAATGGATTCATTCGTTTATTGCTCGCTAGCGGTAGTCCATGTCGGCTACTACAGTACGACACCTTTTGAAGTTCTTAGTGGGGGAACAAATCGACTGGGCACTGGGGATACCCGTTTCTCGCACTCGACACATCGACGTTTAGAGTCCTCAAAGAATGCGCCCTGCAGGTCTCACCGGTTCGGATGTATGTGAAACCAGTGACGGGAAGAGTCCCACCTGGACCCCGCGCGCCTCGAGCACGCCGCCCTTCGCCCTCCAGACAAAATACCCCAGAGGGCGGCGCGCTCAACTCTAGCTACAACTCAGTCACCGGAATATGTTTGATGGGCAACTGGCCGGTGCGGAGCGTGTACTCATCCTCGGAGAACGTCTTCTGGTATTCGTGCTCCTTCCGACTTATCGCCCTCTTGTTGAACTTATAGTCCTTCAGCGCATCGCGTACTTTTAACCGATACCGAAACAAAAACAGACCAAGCACTCCCAGTAAGATTATGGCACTGACACAAAACGTGACTATTATCACTTGCTGACTGGGGTCTCCGAAAGAACATCCCAAGTCATCGCTAGTGAGACTTCTCAACGGCCTGTCCCTTAAGTGAATCGGACTAGCGCACTGCACATTCGTGAGGTTTTTCTGATTGGCTAGATTCAGAAGCCATAATAGCTGACAGTCACAGTTGATGGGGTTATCAGTGAGCTCCAAAGCCCGTAACTCGTTCCACGACACTACGGATTCTGGTAAACTTTTAAACGCGTTCTCACGTAACACTAAATGCCGCAAATTGGGCAATCCCACCAAGGCTCCCTCATCAAGGTTTTCCAGCTTCTTATTGCTAACCAACGCAATTGTTTCCAGATTCATATTGTCACTAAACACGCCCTTCTCTATATGCTCCAGATTCTTAGCTCCAGTAATGTCAAGTTTTCTAAGATTGGTCAGCCCCTTGAAAGCTCCCTTCGGGAGGGTGGCAAACTCATTTTGACCAATTGTTAGTTCCTCGAGCCTTGAGAGGTAACCCAGTTGGCTAGTAGGGATTTGCTGCAGGCGGTTATCAGCTAGTATTAGGTTTCGTAGTCCTGACAAACCTCTGAAAGCGTGCTCGCTGATGTTGGTGATGCCTCCACTAGCCACATCCAAGACTGAGAGCTTGCTCAGACCCTTAAATGCATCATCCGGAAGGGAATTGAAGGTGTTAAGGCCAACATGCAACTCTGCTAAACTTCCCATGACTGGAAATGCACTAGTTGGAACCACAGATAAAAGGTTGTCGTCCAGGTACAGAACTCTGAGGCTCTGCAATCCATCGAATGCCAAGGCGTCGATTTTGGCTATTCGGTTTTGACCCAAATTGAGCTCCTCCAGCTTAGGCAGTATGGAAAAAATACCTTTCGATAACTCTTCCAGGAAATTCTCCCGCAAATTTAACACAGTCAGCGACTTCAGTCCTTGGAACGTTTTGTTGTTCACTGAGGACAACTTGTTCTTATTCAGGTGCAATTCCTGCAGCTTTTCTTGATGCAGAAAGCTCTTTGTCGGAATATTAACCAGATGATTGCTGGAAAGATCCACATATTGCAAGTCTCTGTAGAACTGGAATGCTGCATCGACCGTTTTAATTTTATTATTCCTAAGCACAAGCCTCTGAATTGCTGGATTTAGTGTGATTGGTATAACATCCAATTTGCTTCTTTCGCACTGCACCACGAAGGTATCATCATTGCACATACATCCTGTTGGGCAACCCAGCATACTGCCTGCACTGCCAAAGCTCGGAAGAAGTACGGCCAGAAGAAGTAGGTAAAGCATTGTATTGAGGGTAGTAATCTGAAAAARAAAAGACCAATTAGTACAAGAAGATGTGCAGTTAATTTTTTTCAGCAGTTTTGGCAACAGCGTTATTTTAATTAGTAATGAGTTTTCGGCAGACTACCAGAATACATAAACATTGGAAGTGAAACATAATTTTTGATTAAAATTTACAATGRCAACTATGCATCCAGGYAGATATTTAYTGATAAACCTGTTTGTGTTACAGCGCATTTGTGGTTAGTTCTTAGATTGTGCTTTTCAAAATTKAAAATATATAAAATGTCGATTATGCATAAGGTTGACTGTCCTTGTGAAGAGTTTAAATATGACCAATCTCTTAAAATCACGAAATCCACTACGTGTTGTTTATTAGGTACAAGCAAATGGATTCTTTTGAGAACGAAAATGAAACTGGGACCAATTGAACAACTGATTGCTGAAGGTACTACTCGTAAGCAACTACTAAAACCGTATTGAGTTTGATAGGAACACAACCACCAAAAGCCGGCCTGAAAAACCATTGAAAGGTTTCGCCCAAAATCTCCCCTGATCTCAAAGTTTTTAAGACATTCATTTGAAGAAGGGTCGGTATTAACCAATTTTTTGCATCATTTTCCATTTGCAATTGCAACAATTACATCACAACAAGCAAATGTAGAAAAAATGTTGATAAATGTACAAATCGCCGAAAAATCCAACCCAATAGCCTGTTTTTATTTGTTTATATTGTTTAAGTGTCCTCGGCATTTCAAACTTCCAAATAAAAAACGTATGAAAAAACCACGGTTCAAGCACAATCTTTTAACATAACTTTTGGAATCGTGACAGAATTACAGATATTCTAACTACAATAAATCTTAGAATCGATCTTACCACATATGTTAAATGCTTGATACATTCTTGGCGCGACCAGGTAAAATATAAAGTGAAATGTTTCTTGGAAATATTTGATTGAATATTAATGCTTTGAACTACAGAAACTTGCTTAGTACTGATAATTTATCTAATATTATACTGAGTGGTCTATTCGTAAAGATGACCAGACACAACGGTAACAAATTACTTTTAATTTCATTAATTAAAAGCATATATTTACGTAGATATCTGGTGAATTTCTATAACAAAAGCTGGAGTCTGTATAAAGCCATTAATTCTGCATGAGTAGATCATGGATGGATACATTTTTCCAAATTGCGTTAATTCTTAAAACCACAAATGTAACTTACTCATTCCTGTCCCTAAGATTAACACGTGCAGTTTTGAGTAGGCGATATTATATATAATTTTCATGCGTCATAATTAACTCGTAATGTATGTGCCGACATTATTTAAAAGGGCAAGCAAAGCCATGTCATGACAAAGCATAATTGGGGAAGTCTAAACAATTTTAAGTTAGTCAACTCTCGGCTTCACACAAGAACAATGTTATCTTTGACTTTAATAGAAAGTGGTCTCGAATATTTGGCACACGAAATAACATACTCTTTACGCATCAGTTCAAGACGATTTTAAACCATTAATAGCTTTATTAATTGCAAATTAATCAATTAAGGCTATTTTCTGTTATGTAAAAGGTTTTTTTGTTTCTGAAATAGCTGCTCAATAGTTGTACTCTCTGGATATTAAATTTTGCTATTTATACGCCTTAAATGCTACTTGAGACACCTTAAAAAGCAACAAACCATCTATTACATTCTCCGCCATTCATTATTCCAAAAAAACTTCAAAAGTAGTGTTTCAAAAATACATGATCCAGAAGATCTCGTAGATAGACGTCATTATGAATCAGTATATTTACAATGCGACTATTAACTGTAAATACTTTACAATCCTGTAGAAACCGTTGAAATACCTACTTATTAGATTTATTAATAACGGGCGAGTAAGAGTGATATAATCCAATGTTGTATTTACTTTTCTGGTTGTTGACCCATAGCCATATAAATCATAAGAAATAATTCAGAAATGGCCATGTGGTGCGTAAAAGTCTGTGCCGACTAGTTAATGATAATAACGTTTTTTTTCATTATTTAAATTGTGAAGCAGATTTATTGCTTGAAAAAACGTAATCAATTCAATCCTCAAACCAAGCCTTTGGAGTTAGTGGGAGTTTCTTATTTGAAAGTATTTTTGAGTGAATTATTGATTTGCTGTCGGATAAGTTTGGAAGTTTTCAGAAAACCGGCTTCTCGGATGTTTACTAATTAAATTGCCGAAACAGATAAATATTCATTAGAAAATGCTAATGAATGCGAAATGTATATAAATTAGACATTTGCCAAAAATGATGTAAGGTTTGTAAACTCATTTCAGAGTAGTTTAGTTTGCTAAAATATCAATATTTAGTAGTTTATTAAGAAATTCATACAATTTTTAACTCCGCTGTTCATACGAATTAGAAAGATTCAGCACGTTTTATTTGATGCCCATTATAAGTTTGGAAAGTACCTAGTCAAACTCAGGCTTTTTAATTTCGCAAGTTCTGGTGCTTTGCAGATTTGTTACCAAATTGTATCTGAATAAATGAGAGGTTTGAGATATGCAAGTTCAAGACGGCCAAATTTTTCGACGATTTTAATTCAAAACGTTTTATTCGGAAACGTTCCTATATGGAAAATAAACCTAAACTGCATTGCTGTTAAATTTATTGATGACGAATTTTTCCCACTGACTACTTGGGTCAAAAGCAGGTACAAATAAACCCAGAATACTCAAGCTAAATGATGCCTCATAATCACTTTGATAAGATAATACTTATTTTTAGATACTTAATTGGTTGGGTAATTAGAAAAAAATCAATAACACAAAGCGATTTTCTCAACTCTCAAATGTGAACGTAGTCTCATATTTCAATCAAAGTTATTTATCATATAATTGAATGTAAATAAGTACTTAATGTACCTATTAAAATTCAAAATTTAAACCGTGCCTTGATTCACTAGGAATACTATTATTTTTACATGTTTTCAACTGTGATCTGTTATTTAATTTCCTACTCTTCTAATAGCCCTTTAAATGTGTGCTGGCGTTTCTCATTGTTGTTGCGACATTTGCATTAGGTGTATTGGAAAGCCGATTATAAAGACAAAACGCCCTTTGTATTTATATGTGAATTGTTTTATATAACATAATCGCCGCAATTTTATTGGTCCCAGTATAGGTCTAATTATTGCTTATTTTTAGACGATAATCGGAATTTTATCATTGGCAATAATTTGTTTGCTCTATTAGGCAGGCGAGAGAAGCACTATATTTCTTGTGATTATTTGATGACAGGATTAGTAACTCGGTTGTGAATTACTTATGTGTAAGTAATAAATGGCCTAGTTAATCGAGCAGCGGATTAGTTCACTTCTGATCAATGTCAACAAAAGACTATTGTGAAATGTAGGCTTTGTCAAGGTGCAGAGGCGCTTACCATATTTTTGTTTAAAAACAATAGAATATGGTTCAATAAACTTTTTCCGTGCTATCTATATCTGCTTGAAGTGTGTATTTTACTCATTGATAGAAAAGGTCAAACATCAACAAAGGTGAAGCATTTTTTGGAATAGGGATTTGGATAGTTGCTGTTAAAAATTCACTTGATTAGTAGACTAAATGAAAGTGAGAAGAATGTTGCTAAATATCAGAGAATTTGCGCTTTGACTCAAAGACGGATACATTCGAATGACCTTACACTCTCCTATCTTTTTCTCATTATAGAAATCGTTGTTAACTTTATCCGAAATATGATAATTCCGACCAGTTAACTACTGTTTTGGGTTTCAATAAATCAATTAACACGATTTAAGATTAAAATGGGGACATCAAGCAGTAAACCGCGACTATCAATTTCGTCACATTTTCGCTTCAATTACGCAAATGTAGACATATTTTAAATATAAATTAGGTATTATGAAACGCGGTTTCAAAATTAATATTGTTGGATAGCAAATTAAAACATATTGTTTCTGCAGAGAATCATTGCTCTAAAAGTATCACTAAAATACGCTTTTTATAGCGAAAGAATAGTGCTTCATCTACCACAAAAAGCGCCCCGAATCATTTAAGAATCCGTTTTACGCAAGCGAGGTTTTACATAACGTATTTTTTTGAAATCGCAATTATTTTCTTTAAAAACTATTTAATGTCCACACTGAAACAAATTCAAGCTGTCTTGACGATGATCAATTCCGTTCGCTGATTTTCAATGATCTACTAATACATTAATTAATTCCACTCACATAAATCATAAAAATGATTAAATAAATTTAACCAAACTCCTTGCACTGATAATCCAAAAATAACAATCCGTGAATCACTACGCATCACTCCATTTATCACGTAAAACAACTTGAATACATTTTTAAAAGAAAACTGTCCCTTTTACGTACGCAACGGTTTCACCGACTTGACTGAGTTCTACGCATACCTTCCATACACACTCACGAGCCTGACTGAACTGAATTTCAATTCTGAATTTCCGACTGCTCTGCTCACCGTATGTGACTGCGCAGTCGGCGCGCACTGAGTTGCGTGGCCGTCCCGACCGCCGGATGTGAAATCCTTGGACGCCTCTACTACCTGTTCCAAGGGTCTAACTTTAAATTATATTATTCTATTCAATTCATTCTATTGCACAGTTTAACGGTTCAAGTGTTACTTTCAAAATTTACTGTTCAATTTAAAAACAGTCTTTTGGAGTTGCGGTAACGGTAGACAGTTGATTCTCACAGTAGGAGCTGTTTTGCAGAGCGTCTATGGTTCAAGGTTGAACTATTGAWAAATTTCTTTTGGAATGTCACTCAATTTGATTTAAGACSCTTTCCTTGCATAATGCCAAAGGACAACAGCATTTCTCTTTRACTACTCCCTCTATTCTGAAACATTGGTGTTAGTCATCCTAAAGCCGGTGTGAAAATGATCTGCAAGGATAATAATCAGGGTTATTTGAAAGATCRTGTTAATCATTGAACATGTAATTATAAGTAGAAAACACTGATCACACAGATACAWAACTATATGAAGTGKAA